TAATACTGCTGAATACTATTTTCAGTTGAATAAAGCTGCATTCTTCTTAGAATCACTAAATGCGTTCCATTTCGAACGACCGTTTCGATTCAATTGAAACAGTGAACTGATCGTATGTCTTTGGGTATATTTTCTACACTGATTTGACACTATTAGACGCTATTGAACGCACTCTTCAATAAAACAGTTTTTCAACATATATACAAAGATACTTTTGCTTGATGCATTATCGTTCAAGAATCGCAATGGATAAAGATTCACAAGTCTCGTACCCCAATATTCTTCATCAGCTGAACATCTTTCGAGTGAAGATGATAGCTGTCATAGGCCACATCCGTCGTACTGTTATCTGCTATTTTGCCTGGCAATTTAACAAATTCATCCCAGATGCTTGCTGAGCGATCTGTAGCATAAGTCAAGTTTAATATAAACGTAATCAAAACGTAATCATTCAGTTGGCAAGCCACTGATTGTGAATGCGATTTGCTCTGACAATGCTCTACTCAAACATTAATGGTCAGTGGGAAATTCAGTATCTTTGAAAATTTATCACACAAAATTCCAAACTGCTTCGTAAAATTCGCATTGCCATTATCCCTTTGCAAAGCTAATGTATGTACAGAAAGCACGCACTAAAATCATCGTCGTCGCACTGCTGAATGTTTTATAATTTTCTCAAGATAAGAGTAATTTACTTTATGATAATAAAGGATGTGTTTTATGATGTGATAATTGTTGCCTTTAAATTATAATGTTATAAATATTTTAATTATATTTTCAACGAGCTTGTTTGTTCTTGAATACAGTTCGTTCTGATTTGATTCGGGAACAAGGGTTATTAATAGAGTAACGACATGTATAAAGGTGTGTTTATGAAGTTTAGAAGTGAATAGTCATCACTGCATTAGCGAGTAATCGTGTTTTAATAAGACATAATCACGATCAAACTATGCGCATATAAGGAACAGGATTTGATGGAACTGTTCATAAAACTGTTCTGTTCACCCTCATATATTCCTACTAATCATCTTCAGATAATTGTTATTAATGTGCAGTGGAACATTTGGGTGTGTTAAGCTCAAGCTATGGCAAACTGCGGTTCATTTACTAAGGTATGAACATTCATCTCCGGAATAACTTCATCAGATAGGCATAACCCGAGCCACCAAAAATTTTTGCGCATGTTATCTATGGAAATCCTCAGTTAAAGCGACTATTCATTCACTCGTCCAGAGGTCATCCACAACTGACTACCAGTGTAGAAAAATATAATTTTCTTGCAGTTTACGTTCTCATTTAACGTTCTGAAATCGTCATATCACAGCAATTCGCTTAAGATTGACTTGCTTGCAGTGAACATCGACCGTATCCGTTCTCTTTACCGTAACACGATGTTTTTCGAAGTGAGCAGCATTTGGCGTAACGATCGCAATATACACATGGTGGTGATGTGCACATTCATGAAAGTGTGAATGGCGCGAATCAAACTCATTCGAAATGTTTGATGAGGTCGTTAATGAATATTGAGAAAGGATACAATCGTTCTTGTTGAATCAGTTGCTTTCGGTTATTTGCTTTGGAAGTACAGCAGAAATCGTCAAATCGAGATGAGATACTTTGACACTAACACCATCTGAAAATTCGTTTCTAGTCGATGTAAATTTTGCATAATGCATTTCCATTGATGAGGTTTTCGTTAGAAGTTGCGAGCATCTTTTATTTTATTGTAATTCCATTCTTTAGAGAGAATACGATTTGCAGTGAAGATGATGAATATGAGCAGTCAGAGTGGTGAGGACTTTTTTGAGGAGATCCTGGCACTGGTTGATGAATTTGATGCAGCCGATTTGAACGATATCACTCAACGAGTCGAAGTATTGTTTTCATATTAATTTTAATTGTTTTTTCATGCGACAGTTTTGAACATTGTAGTTCCCAAAATTGTTTTTGTCATTGATTTTTTATTAGAGATGTCAACATTATAATGTTTGTCATCGTTGTTGTCGTCACATCATTGATAGAGCATCTTTTCAATTGGTACGGAGTTAATTAAGGCACTGATTTGACATTTTTCGTTTCATTCATAATCAAAAAACCTTTCGAGTTCATTTAATAGAAAAAACCAAACTTATGAAAAGCTCCTCTGACGCGATGTCTTTGAACTTCAAGATATGATTTGTATATTGGGCGATACAATTGTAATATATGTATGAAATAAATAAGTGATGTAAATGTTATGAAATCTGCAATGTAACTTTTAAGAGCATTGAATGGTGTCGTTTGAGAAACGATTATAAGGAGCAATGCGACAAAGCGAAGAAATGGTACCGCAAAGCGATCACTGAATTACAAGGTTCGTTTCTGGACATTGAAGACTTCGAAGGAAATATTTCGTTTATTCAGTTTATCGATTGCATCTTGATGCTATCGAATGTGATAGCTTCACCGTCAAATCTTGAAGCCGTACCGTAGATTTCCAACGACTTTGTGTACCCTCGTAATCATTTTCGAACGTTCAGCATGTTTTTCATATGTAAATTATATGAAATTGCTCTTTAATTTTTAGTTGAATTTCAGAAAGAAGCATTGCGCTCAGCGAATTAGAAGAAACAGAAAAGTCTCTTAAGGAGCAGAATAATTCTTTGAAAGTTCAAATTGGCAACGCTAATCAGCAACTTGATGCGATCAGTGAAGCCGGAAAGAAACTGCTTAGGAAAGAAGATGGTTTGCTTTTAAATTTTCCAGTTAAATGATAAGATCTTTGGATGGTTTTCTTTAAATTTCTCTAACTCAATTCACACTTCGCATTTGTTCCAAATTCCAAATGTACTTTTGATGAATAGATAACTTTATAAGGTTCAGTTTCTGGTGAACGAATGTGGATAGTTTGAAAAAACGTCAGAAGGTTCTAAGAGACTTGTCTTCACTCTAGGTAGATAGATTGAACGAATGGATCGAAAGAGTCGAAGGGTGACGAATTCTTTTAGAATCAGCTTCTGAACCGTTGCGATAATGATTATTCCGAAGATATATTTATGAGGAAGTCTCCATAATATAAACTCTATCAGTGATTGCAAAAGATGTTCCAAGTATGATGTTTGCCGAAACGTCTGGAAATATTTCTTGAAGAATTCGTTCAAATAAATTATATTGCAGAAATTCATGCAGAATTGCAAAAGTTGAATGATGTGTTGAATGCTCGGGAAATCGAGAAGCATGAACTTCAGCAGAAAGCTCTACTAATCCGAAAGAAATTGTTAGTTCTCATTTAATTGAAATTTTCATTTCATCATCCTCATTGTTTGTTGAGTATGATTCAGTATCTCTTTGAAATTCATCAGTAACGTGAAAGTTTCAGAATATTAAGAAAGCTGGAGCTGAGACGTTATAATCCAGATTTCTTCCCGAGAAGTGGGGACATCAGCTGTAAAGTAATTACCTTTTGATGATGTTAAACTTTTTTTTCGGATTTTTCTTTTCAACTTTCCATACTGTATTCATGATGCCGATGAATGAAAAATATGATTGCGAATTAAATAGGCAAATTGCTTTGTGCTGCGGCTCATTTGGCCCTCAATCATACACACGCATGTGGCACATCGCACGATTATATGACATGTTTTTGAATTCAAAGAGATAATAATTGCAGTCGGAATGAAGTATTATTTCTTTTTGAACCGAAACAACACCATCAAAATTGAGTCGGCCGATCGTTGCTTCCACTTGAATGATATTTACCCTGAATCCTTAAGAAAAAACTAATAACGTATAATGGTTAATTTCAGAATATTACATCAGACATCGAAAGCGTAGTGCCAGCGAACTGCAGTCAGGTGGCCACTGAGAGCATGTCAAATTCAAGAACAATTCAGTGGAACCTGAGCTCTGCCAAAGAGTGAGTTTGGTTTATATTCAATTTCATTAATTTTCTGTATATCGAACAGATCACTGCTCGAATGCCCTAAATGCTAAAGTTTTATGGATGCTCATTTTGGCTGGAAACATCCTCGTTTTATTAGCAGTCGATGAAATATGTATGAGGTGAATAAATTGAATATTATAATGTGGATGATGGAGTGAGCGATGATTGTGTAATTTATTTGATGATGCGATGAAGTTTGGAAATAATACGAAGGATAAAATTTAGTTAGAGTTTCATTGATTGGTAAGTTTTGTGACAATTAGGTTTAGGAAAGATTTTGAAATTCTGTTTCCATTGAGATTTTTTCTCAGGAATAAGGAGAACGCGGATTGTAGACTGCTGGACAGCAAAAATGTTGATGAGTCAAGTATGGAACAGGAAGATTCAGAAACTGTTTCATGAAGAACAAAATAGACTTGGGAAAGAAGAGGTGGATGCATCTGTGTAAATAAATAAATGTTTTCCTTTCTACTTTTTGTTTTTTTTTTCCTGTTTTTTGTTACGATGATACGAAATATGCTCTCAAACTTGGTTGTGAAGTGCTTAGAAGTGTTGAATCGCGATCACCTTTGAGACCTAGATCTTGAATGAATGATGTCCAGCGTTCATGGGAAGAATTTCCATGTCGTTTATTACGTGAACGACGGTTTCTTTTGCTGTTACTTTGAAGAATTATGTCCCTGATTGGAAGACTTCTAGTTTGAAAAGTTGAATTATTTTAACTGTATGCAATCAATCAACTGTCATCTTAAGCAACAATTACGATCTGCAGCAGAATTCGTCACTTACTTTCAGTATCACTCATTTGCATTTGTACAAAAGTTCACTGCAATCTTGATTCCGTGCATAACCATTAAGTCTCGTTCATTAACGTCATTTGTGTTGTTCTTTTTATTATGTTTGTGTACGTGGAATGATTCTTTTGTATTACTTATTTTGATATCGTGCTGTATGATATTCATTTAACATTCTTGTTTTCTGAAAAGAGATGATTTTGTTACTGTTCATCTACACTGAATAAAATTTATGCGAATATATTCATATAGTATAAAAACACCACAGTGATCCATACCGAGATGGCATATAGGGGCATGTCAGTTTTCTTTTCAAATAGTCAATGCTGTGAGGGTTTTTCTCATCCACAAGTTTGGCCATCAAAACAGGAATGTCAAATGATTTCATTCTAAAACATTCGGTTGCATGAATCTTCGAATTAAGTGTATTCGCAGTGTACCTATATCAATTTAAGATTGTTTCACAATAAGGCTTATTTCACAACTTTTGACGATAGGTTTATTCACATCAGAACGAAACAGTTCAGTCGCGTGCATTACTCATCATCTTTTTCTAATGCATCGAACACCAGATTACGGTTCCAGTCAAACAATACAAAAAATCCACATGATGACATCAACTGAACATTTACATTCGTTTGACAAAATGTTGACACATTTGAGCTATATGACACTTCAACAATAATGAAAGTGATTTTTGAATGTCGTTTAATGCTTTGAAATATTCACAAAAGTATCTTTTGTTTTGCAAAAATTGTCATTTGTGTCTTCTTAAGAAAATTCAATAGAAGAGATTCCTTCCGAGCGGTGAGTGAAGTGATCCTACTTTATAACTTCATTATATATGAGTATATTCCAATCTGACAGATTAGCGCTCTCCAGGCATTATCCCCAAGATATCACGACTGAATTTCTATCGTTATTTTATAAAATATTTCGAGCACTTCAACTAACTATTACACATGTATGTGCTTCATCTCATCCAACATCTGCCCGATTAACATTTGAAATATAATTAATTGCTGCCAGAATCATTAATTACTGTCCTTATTTTTTGAACCATAAATTGAAAATGATTTCGAGTGATGCTATAGTCACATTAATTCATGCTTTTGCTCGAAGTAATTTTAGCACTGAATTCTATCGTTTTTTCCCAACTGATATCAACTGAAATCGCATGTCGAAGGTGATCGTGAAATATTTTATAGTTCAGTGGATAGAATTGGCCGGTGCTCACATCAGATCATCAGCGGTTTAATATACTAATTTCGCGGTTGCGAAGTTTATGGCTGGTATCCTATAGAAGATATTCTCACATTATCAGAAACCATAACATTGACGTTCCGTTAATTGGGCAATAAAATTGTTGATCAACAGGCATTCAGACAATGGCTAATGAACAGACTGTTCGTAGAGTCTGTTGTTGGTCACAAAAATTGATATGATATCATTTGGGTGTTTATTGATGAGAACAATTACATACATTTGTTTTGTTGAAATTATTATAAGCGTATGTAATATTTATTGGGATGAATCGAGATGAAGAATTTCTATAGGTGTGCAGTGAGTTTATTTAATATCCGTCGTTATACGAGTCTATGAATGTGTATATGTGTGCATATGCTCTTATTGCGGTTATCGAATCGTCTAAGGTCATCTTTTTTATGTGACCAATCTGTTTCAAGGCATTTGTTAGCCGTATAACAATTTCATCGTATGGCTTTTGCTGCTGCATTAATAAGTGATCGTTTAATAAGGTCGATTCCATTCCATTTGCATATGAATGAACAGAACATCGACAGATCCGAATGCTCATTTGATATCCACTCAAAGAGTAGATCAACTCACCATCAGGTGAACTGCAACACACATTTTGTTGATATGAGCTTATTTGGTATTTGCTTATTACGAAATACGCCGATTTTTGATTAAGTTTTATCCTACCGTTGCAAGCGGGGAGGCACGATACCGTTATGACCGTTTCTCATGATCGCTACTTGGAATTCATTGATTTGAATTCTTTTCAGTTTGATGGTGAAGGAACCTGCAGATTTCACAGGATCTTACGTTAGCCTTTGATTACCTTTATTACCTTTTTAAAAAAATACCCGTTTCATACGAAGTGCGGTGATCGTCTTATTCAAAAGTTGCTAGTGAAATTTGATTTCCTATTCAATTTCATAAATTTGAAGCATATTGGCGTGTCGTTCAAAAGACTAAGGTCGATTGAATGGTTTGAAGATTGGAAAGGGTTTAAAGGACAGGTGACGTTGAAATATGTAATCTTGAAATGTAATGAGTAGCAGAAGATGAGGTCATGTAGAGGTAGGTATAGGTTGTGTATCCTCATGATTTGATACGGAACCAAGCCCGAAAATAAGAGAGAGAAATAATAACATGGGCGATTGCGTGAAACGATCATAATTTTACAGATGACTGGTTAATTAATCAGCTCAATTGAATATGATGTCGTCTTCACATTATTCATTGATATCTATATATTTCGTATTATTTATGTTTGTGTATTACATCTCATTACAATGTTCGTTTGATGTCATCATAAATTGATATGGCTTTCCTCATTTCAGCAAAGCGATGTTGCATTTTACTGCTGAAACTTTACAATATCGCATTGAATGTTCAAGTTTTGTGCAGGTGTGTACTTGAACTGAGTTGGATAATCAGCGAGTTTTGAAGCAATTCGATTATCGTTACAGTCAATCATCAATCACATGTGTTATGAGAGCTTGTGTTTGTTTAGATAATGAGGTGTGGGATTGAATTGCTTTTATCTTTTAAGCATTACTGATATGATCATGTTAGTTTGCTCACTACTCTATTACATGGCTTGGCTCAGTCGACGGTTAGCTGCAAATCGATCTATATGTAATCAGAGAGGTGGCTAACGAAGGATATACTATATCCATCCAGCTCTACAGAACAGTTTGTTAGTTGAGCAGTTAACCTGTGCTGTTTGTTATCACTGCATCGCCTACTGCTGCCCTGGAGCTATCGCACTGCACACATGAACAGACACACTTGCTCGCTCATATCTTACCCCTCATACCTGCCTTATCTATTGTTGCTATCATTGTATCCATGTCGATCACCTCATCGATCTCTTTTCCCAGAGGCAAATTCTCGAGTGTTTTTTCAAACTCTTCTTATTTTTTGTTCCATCCATCCAATGTATTCGTTTGTATTCATCATCCGTCGACAGTATTCGAGAAATGGCACATCATTATTATAGGTGGTGAAGATTTTTCGGCGCCAGTTGTTGATGTAGCCAAAGCATTTTAAAGTCGACTCTGTAACTGCATATGTTAGCATCTGGTAGTGCAGAAGTTTATGATTAGCGTCGGATCTGTTGTTCATTGGCTGGGATATTTTCGGTTTCTGTCTGACGACTCCAATCCCATGGAAAATAAGATATGGGCACAGAAATTTTTTTGTGAAGCAATATTGTGAACAGACTGAAGGATTCGGTTCTTTCTCTCGAGATCTCGTAGCTTTTGCAGTTTTCCACCATAATCCTAATTTTAAATCTGCCTTCCTTTAGCCAAACTCATTTGCAATTGATCGTTTTTGCTTAAGTGGATGTGTCTCTTGAATAGAATACTATGTACAAATGAGGTGTTATATTGGCTGAGTAATGACAATATCAATGAACATATGTGTCATTGATTCGTTGTGTTATACGCATCAGTGATTTTATCAAATCTCCTTATAAGAAGATATCTGTATAGAAAAGAGATATTGTACGCGATATGACACATATCGTCGTTTACACATCATAAACACACCAATTTTTGTCATTCATCTATCATATTTTATTGTAACAGTCTGAATGTGATGATTCTATAGACTTTGCAAGCAACATTTTGATAGTGTTTCAACATTTAATGATAGACCGGAATTAAGGTGAAGTTTTTTGATGAATGATTGAAACTGTGATATTAACATTCGCAATCTTTTCACACACTTAGCCAATTTGTTGAAATATTGAGGCGATCATCATGTGTTGTTTGAAATTGATTGAATGCTATGAAAAGTTTATTGAGATAATTAATAAAGTGATCGCTTAGCACTTTGTTTTTAAGAAATTCTTTCGATTCCTTCTTCAGATTTTTGATGAATGCTGAAGAAAAGAAAAAAATTTGAGTTGGAAAACAAAATTTTTGTAGCATACAGTTGCAACTAACTGCCCAACAACACCCTTCAGTCTAATTCATTAATTCGCTCCTCTTGAACATATGTTCACTGATTTGCAGTTGTTTTGAAGCGAGGAAGGCTAGTGTGCGATCTTGTTGATTATTCGTTTATCTGTATCCGTAAGTGTTTCATTCAACGACATTTTATGATTGTTCTCGTTATTCGTATTCGTCTTCTTCACATTCTAGTACACAACAGTGAACTTTAGAAATCAATGGCTAGAGGAGTTGAAAATGTCGTCATATCTCAAAAATTGTCTTCCTCGGGTAATGCTTTGGAACCGCTCACATATTACTAGTTTTCTTCGGAGTCGTCATAGTGTTTGGGGAACAAGCGAAACTGATTTTTCGATCAAACGATCACCTAAATCGAGATGTAGATTTATTTTTGACGACAAGATCGATCAGCTTCTTTGCAATATTTTGGATTGCGTGGAAATTTTTTCAGAAATTGAGAACAAAATTCTCTCATATAATAGTTCTTGTGAACCAAACAATCGGATTTCAGTGCAGAATGCTTAAAAGCGCCGAATGGGAAAACATATTTTCACAGATGAGGCCTCAACTGTTGTGCCAGTGACTAATTAGTTAGAAAGCATTTTGTTTTGTTTTTTTTGGTTGTTTCGATTTTATGCTCAATTCTCCAGATGCGATTTTTACAGGCGAACATTTCACCGCTGTGCGATGACGAAATAAATTTTATCACTTTCAAGAGCGTCTGCATATGTGCTCATTAGTAATGCTTCGATATCCATATGCTCATGTGGCACGGGTTCTTCGGGAATTATTTTTTTGTATATTAGCAATTATGCTAGGGTTAATCATCAGCGTTTCACTCATTGCACCTTATGAATAAATGAAGCATCTGAACGATGCCGCTACCCTTTTTTCCATAAACAGTCGCTTGAACGGCACCAGTTATACATTAAATGAGCAATGAAAGCGTGAGAGAACATCATTTGAGCGCATACTTCATTCGCAACGTTTTTATTCAAGCAAGAAGATTTGCAAAGGAATCAAACGCAATGATAAATTTTCGAATATTTTCTCATTGGATTTACCACGGTATTCTCTCGTGAGTGTTCTTTTCCGATATGATATAAATGTCTTTAGCGAACAAACTGGAAAATGCCAGCAATAGAACAGTAAAATGATGCAGTCAGTTTGAATAATGGAGAATCTGTTGTTGTTGCTGTTTCTGTGAATATAGCCAGCTATAAATAAAAACGAAATTTCACAAATCAAAAGTTGCCATAGTGAAATTTATCATTAGTTGTGATATTCGAATGTGTATTATTGGTTGGAAGTGTATTTTGACAGAGTGAAGAAATGAGTGAATGAATGTCTTTGAAAGCGATGAGGAATGCCGCCGACTTACATGCACATTCACTCGTGACCTATACAGCTGCTTTCTTTAAGATTTATGGCTTGAAGGTATTTTTTCAACGTCTCAACACATTTGGGAAAGTACTCGTCTAATGAAAACCGAACGTATGGATAGAACAAGTGCTTTGAGTTTTCAAAGAGAACAACACTGGAGTTGATGCATTCCTCTGGAAGCATGTGTTTAGTCGAATCACGATTGGTCGAGATTTGTTGAGTTTCGGTATAGATCAGAACAGAATTTACATTCGTTCGAGTAAATATTCGTGCAAGTCACTGAGAAAAAGGATGCACCTTGAACAGTAGAAAAATAAAATGAGAAATGCGCATGTTGACCATTTTGAAGTGTCATTCATTAATTATAAAGAGAGAACTAGGTGTAGAAAAAAATCAAGAGATAACAATTAAGAATATAATGAGAACAGTTAATTTACGTTGCTTTTGGATCATGCAAGATTTTTGTTTGGGTTCCCAAGATTTGTTGATAAGCGCAATTATTTTCGATTCGCTGGAGTATGATGATTGCTCGATTTCGATCGTGACAATTGGTCGTGGCGCATGCGATCTCCAGGGTCAATAATTATGAAATTTAGAAACTTTGATATTTGGGAGGCAGAGAGCAACGACTGCATCATATTGTCGAGCTAGCATTTGAGGATATTAATGAGGGAGATGGATGAAAGATCCAGAGAAAGTGGATTTTTATCGGAAGAGTCGGACTCATCGTTTCGAACACTACGGTTGTTCAGGTATCCACTATCGAAGGCACATCATGTGGTATCGAGGAGTCCACAACTATCAACAGGTTAGGCGAAATTACTTTAAATATTTGAACTGTTGAAAGTAATGGCATGTAAAACTGATATTGGATGGTGAAATTTATGCTAACTTCCCATTCCGTTTAGTTAAATTGTTTTTTAAAATTTGTGTTCATGAGAGCCCTTCAATATTCCATGAGATTTTAGAAGCCTCTGAATAAATTTCTGCTGTTGTTCTGAGAAATGTGTCTTCTTGTAGTAAAATAATTTCTCCGGAAATTTCCTTAACCGAAAATTTTTTCGCTTTCTGCGAGAAATATCACGCTGAACGTTTCAGACAAAGTTTCACTCGTAATCGCATTTCGTTTATGGCAAATACATTTGATAATGTGTCTGATAATGAGTGTATATGGTGAACGTATGATAGATTTTGGATCGGTGATGAAATAAGTCACCAATTAAATCAAATTCACAGAGAGGATCTATTTCACACAGCACTGCAGTTATCGTAATATCTTTCACTTATTCCACACCGCTTTATTCTTTACCGCAATTGTATCCTTTCCATTTATTATTGCTTTCTTTATTCATTTCAGTTTACGACTCACTTTATGCCTGTAGTATTCTCTCCGTATTCATCTCAGATCAACTCAAGTTCACCCTCATCTCCATCCTCGCACAACGACACCCACTCATCTGTCATTCATTTTGAAACTGATCACCGTTTTTTCGAGCTTGGATCTTTTTTCAAAAGTCTATTGAATCATCAAAAGATGTGGAAGGCGGCTACAAAACATGACTGTAACATCGCTCTCTTATAACAACTACATGCAACGGATCAAAAAGAAACATCCAGTGACAGCAGTTCATGTCAATTATATCAGCGCAATTCTGACTGCATTCCACATACGATTTGAGTGATCCTATCCTCACAGAAGACAACATGAAACTGACTTTTTATAACATCCTCAAATCACCAGTAAACTGCAACTCACTAAAACCAAAAGTTCAAAGTATCGATTTTGTATGTGCAAAATGATACATTTGAAATGTTTATTGTTGTTGTTGGCTGTTGTTGGCCTAGCTAATCAAATATTCATAATGTTTGTTTGGATTGTCCACAAAGGTGATGACACAATGCATTCGCATCACTTGTTTACTAGCTGAATGCTTACTACATAGCTATGATCCTGAAACTTTGCAGTATTTACGTTGTATACTAGTGAATATGTATCACGTGGAAGGAAGTAAAAACTAGATTAAATTGACAAACGATGACTGGTCACCATTTCTGCATGTGCAACTCCATGAAAATATTTTAGTTTATCACTTCCTATCGGATATTTTCTAATTTTTGAAACATCACTTATCAAAGTTATCCGGTTGATGGTTGTTTTGTAACTAGAAATGGTCTTAACGATTCGTTGATATCGTTTCAATCGAGTGGTCGATTGAAAATACTTCAGGGATCATGCTGATCCGAAATGCTCGAAAAGATTTGCCGCACTGCTTCAGTGATTTTAATGAATCGTCGCTTTAATATGATCATCTGTTTGCATTCAAATCTGTAGAGATGGATACAGTTTGGATTAGCATAATTGCTAAAGCTTCAGTTTTATTGTTATTATCAACAATGTTATTATTGTTATAAATGATCTCTCTTGATCCAACCTTATTATAGTTTATTCATGCATTCTTCATGCAAACGTCAATTATCTACACTTAATATGATTTCATTCTTTATTTGTTGATCGTCATCATCGAGACACCTGTACCCAATCAAGTCATCCGTTCACACCTTTTCCGGTATTGTTCTCGTGTCTTCATGCTCAACAATCATCTCAATTAAATTCACTTAATCTCTAAATGCAATAAATTCAACATTTCATTCACTAATCAGCCTGTGAGCACACACACAGTTTCATTAATTACAACTCGCAGAAAGCAAACTATCTCCTGCAATCAGAATATCTTCTGCAGTTGCAACACTTTGATGTGTTCTTGTGTGATAACAAGGAGGCATACACTCGTAATGAGTTGTAATTGCTGATTAAATAAATAAATATCCATATAAGCGAATGCATATCATTGCTGGCTACAAGCTGACGATTCAACTAAGATTTCATAACAGTGCATGCATTTTGCAGCGCGCAAAAACGTGTAACGATTGAACAATAACAACAAAATGACTTAATTTCATTGAAGAAATGAATGAATGCGTTTATGTATAGCAAGTTCATTCCCTTCATGTCAAATATATCCATGCGATGCTATATGTGGATCTCTGCTGACCAGTAGATCCGCTATTCATCATCATTTCATGCATCACGTTGAGAAACATCCTGGATAGTACAAGTCTATTTCATTATTCCTTACACGATATTCTTAAGTCAGTTCTCTTGTTGTTGTGTTTCGTTTTTGCACTTTCCGCTGCAGTTTGGGTCGACCGGAAGAGTGTTCGGACAATGACTGACGAATAGTTCCCACGAGAGAAGGGAGGCTTGAGAAACTGATTATCGAAGGATGTTTCGACAAAAAAGATTCCAATGCGAATAATATATCAATAGGTTTAGAATCCTTTCGACGAAGCCTTCTCTTCTCTACCGGAAGCTTTCAGTTGCTGGAATATTTTCATTAGCATTTTTTTCGATATGTGCATCTCAGCGATGAGATAAATCAGTTTCGTTAAATCAGTTTGCACAGCTTCTCCAAAAGGAAAGAATTTCACTTTCAGATCCAGTGGTCCCCTCTTCAATTTTGGATCATTTGTTGACTTGCTGTTGGTTGTCGAATGAACAGCGAATAGTGGCATTGTTCCATTGCATGCTTCCATTTTAATTGTTTTGCTCAAAAATGCGCTAATTATAGAGCGTTGTATACAAAATGATGTGACGATTCATTTGAATTTGGTTTTTATTTGTTGGAAAAATTATGGGGTATTAACTTTGGTTATATGGCTGCTGCATTAATACTTCACAGAAATGTTACTGTATAATACAATACTGTCGCATATAATGATGCCTAATTGAACATTGCCCTTTGGGCTCGTTTTGCTCACCTCTACCATTATAATGTCATCAGATTCATCAGAGACAATTTCTAGCGGTAAAGTATCATCATTAGAATTCATATGGGCTCGTTAGGAAGCACTAAGATCAAGGTTAAGGTTATCGATCAGTTTGAGATTATGGTTATCAACCTCATCGAAAACGCTAGTTATGATTAGATTAATATTTTGATCCTCGCGATGCTTTTGGAGTCTTGGATTATAATTTTCAGTTATTCTGGGTTTACTATTGTTGACGAATACATTTTTACGAGTTTATGAGTTTACTAACGTATGGATTTGGGCATGAATTTTGTATGGAAATAGTTGATTTGATGTGATTTGACGATGAGGTTGTTGGTCATTTAATCGCATTGATGAGAATGATATAATGTGGAAATATGCACTTGGCTCTTCCAGATACTCAAAAAGAAAATGTGCTATTCGATTGAACAGCTGCTATTTTGCACAACTCTTGTGCACGTCTTGTACCACCTCTCATCCGTCTTTATGCTCTATGCAGCTAGATATTCGTATTTTCGAATATTGATAACTACAAAATTCTTAAGAACGATTTATTGTGATGTTCTTCAGCGTTTCACATTATTCATTGCTAGCACTATCTCACAGTGCTTCTCACTGACACTAATTCAAAGTCATTCGCTGTTGTAATTCGAAATTTATTATGGCTTCTCCTCAACAAAACGAACGTTTTTCAGCTATGTTCTAATAAATATTCAGCACTTTCTGCGGATATTCGCCTGGGTTCATCGCGAAGTGGCTGTTGTCTGCATAAAGTTTTTGTCATAGTTATTGGCAGTAGAGTCGATTTCACCATAAATATTGCAGCATTCAGATTGTTGAAACCTTTTCAATATTACGATCACCCAAAATCTACGATCTCTTGGGCAAATTCCTCATGAATCGTTCATTCATTCAATGGTCCGCTTCCAAAGCTTAATAATTCCCATATGATTTTCTTTTTCGCTCTTCTCAATAATTCTGCGCATTATTATTACTAGTAGTACTCGTGCATCGTAACTAGCAACAGATCTGTTCAGTAGATCAAGATCAAGATTCTGATCGTATCGCGTTTTCGCTTGTGATAGAGCACCTATCCTTTGAGCGATGCTTGCACTGAGCTTTATTGAAAATCGCATTGTATAGATTATGAGTGCTTACTCCTTATTCGTATGATATAATAGAACTCAGAAATGTGTTTCTTTGTACATGCGTTAATAAAATGCAGATGTATGCTTAGCAAAGAGTATGTTCAAAATAAATAAATGATTTCGTTGCTATAAAACAAATTCAGCGAAACACTTTCGTTTGCTAACAATTCGCATTGCTTGCTAGTGACTATCACTGCGATTGAGGAAAAGCAGTCGTTATGATAGTTTATGTGTTGAGCAATTCCAATGTTGATGATCTTGAGGAGAAAATCAAAACATTTTTCGGCATATCGTTCTCATCGCATCAATACACCCGACGATTCCATCCTCTTGTCTCCTTATCATTGATATGATAACGGAGATTTTTCTGCGGAGTTTTTTTGACTAAATTTATCCAGCCCTGACATAGCGCGTGCTTATGCACTGGCATGATCATGCTTTTACCGTATCTTTAAAAAAATTCATACTTGTAGAATTGTTCCCAGCGCATATTTTCCATTAGTTGTGTGTTGTCTTTGTCTTATTTTAACGGCCAGTGCCTTCCGTCCGTCTGGAAATCAAAATCGCAATAGTGCAAACTTCGTGAAAAGTCACTCTTGAGTCATCTTGTGCTCGTTTTTTTGCCAAACAATACACTGATTGACTTCATGAATGCTGAGTTGATTGTGTAAGTGTTTGATAAGTGAGTGAGGAGAAAAGATGCAATAATTAGAAATGTAAAAATTCAATTTCTGTTATTTTCACTCTCTTCAAACATATCCAATTGAATTCATGTTTGAACGTAATTGAAAAAAAAATTGAGTTTGCTTTCTTTCTCGTGTTCTCAACAATCGACAACAGACACTGCAGAAAGTACTACTAAAAAAGTAATTTCAAACAATCAAAGCTAACGAGACAAATCGTATCACTGCTCCAAAACAAACAAAAACTGAATCAAACAATAGGCGAATGTTTAAGTGAAATTGTTTGCGTGTTATGTTTTGAAACAAAACTAAGCAAAAGAGTGAAAACGATGACACCTTTTGAATACAATCGCACTCAAATGCTATTAACATATTTCAACTCAATGTAAGCAAATCACTTTACTTTTTTTCATCTCCGTTTATTTTTGAGTGATCTATCAAGAGTTTTAGGGAAATTTTGACAGCAATTGATCACTCATCAGTTTATTACTGCAATCCTCTAAAACGGTGCACCTCAATAAAACGAAACAGTCTTCTGCATTTCTATATGAATGATCACTCGAAGAAATTTCAAATCGAGAGAAATTGTTTTGGTATAAAATTTCTGAAAAGATATCTTATAAAGAGGGGTTTTAACGAGCAGACAGGGATTATTGTCACCAAGCAAAATTGTTTCAAAATGACGAATCAGTCAGTTAGATTATCAGTTTAATTTAATCAGAATTTACCAATTGCGTGATGAAGCATCAATTAATTATTAATTGATGAAACGAACGATCAGTGAGGTTTGTCTCGCATGAACGTGAGATTTACGATATCGATAAGAGCAATTGGTAAGGTGAGGAGATTTTCGGTCTATGGAAATTAGTGGTCATTGTATCGTGATTAATGGCTTAATGGCAATTGCAGATCGGCTAGGTGTATGATCGTGCCTAGGGTATGGCTAATATTATGATCACATAAACATAATCAGTTCATCTGCGTACCTTTCGATTCGATTGTATTTGATGCCGAATGAATGAAGATGAGAGCATCGTTGGGTTGATTAGTTAACGATAGATGAAGTCAGGTTGATTGCTTTTATTGAGTGTTGGCGGTCAGCAGTGGTCACTCTGTATTAGAGCTTAATGAATAGTGTTCGTGAGGAATATAATGTTAATGTGTTGTGTAGTGCATTGATATCGTGCAATAACGATAACGATAGCCATAAGAATGAGATATCAATTGCAAATTATGTCAATTATTTGATAATTATCGTTAACCTTACGACCTCTTCTCGACGAACGACGCTCGTAAACTTTGTTTCGTATTCCTCACAATAACAACTGCATTGACTTTTATGAAGAAGCACCTGACATTGACAGCAGCAGTGTTTTTTTGCATTAATATTCATCTTATTGACTACACGTCCAGTCATCCATCATCAATTATCGTTCTCGAATTTGTGAACAATTGATTCACGGATAATTAATGCTCTGCGTCTAATCGCATGATGAAGCCAAGTCAAGCATGGTACGCATTGTAATGGTGACGAAACTAGAACAGTTTGAAAATTTGAACTCACAATCAGGCAATTTTTTGGAAGAATTGAAAATTTTACAATTTTCTGTTTGATGTTTCCAACTCTGCTGATGTTTCAATTCAAACACTGTATTGTAACAGCAATGATTGATGTATGATTCTTCACTTGAAATTAATTGATCCTCTCTGTTGCATTATAATGTAAAAATGTTATCAAGAGCAGTGACTCTGTTGATAAAAAACTTTATCAAGAGAGTTTTTTCTTTAATCAAGGGTTGTTGAGTTTGATTTCAGCAGATAGCTGCGCAAAGTTTCATCTGTTCGTTTTTTACGGTCATAATCAAGGGTAATTAATGTATTAAAACTCTTAATCGGTGCAATTTCTTTATGATCACTTCGTTTCTCAGTCCTTCAGAGAATGACCTCGGCTTTCTTCTTCTAAGCTCATATCTTATCTCATCTGTTTATTTGGCCTCCCGTTCCTCGGAACTTCCCGTTTCCTCATAATATCACATTTGGATCGTTAATGTAATTGATGGCTAATCACGACAATGTCATCGTTCATCCACTTCCCTTTTTCCTTTGCAAAATTTCAGTTTTTTCATCTGATAATTAGTGAACATGATTTGTTTTCATTGAAGTTTTAGTTATTTACAAATTTTCAACCGTTATTCGCGAAGAATTTAGATTTTAAATGCTCTTACATGCATATGTTCAGTTCAGGATGAAAATCTTTGCATAATTGTTTGCTCTGACGAACAACTCAAAAACTTCTTTCACTGATCGTTTTCTGTCAAGGATAGTTGAGGGGTCACATGCTTGATCATTTTCACGATTTTAAGCAACACTTTTCATAAATCACAATTGTACACATGTATTTTCCATCGTTGTTTTCAAATATTAACAAATGAAAGCATTTCCATAGTGATTAATCATCAGTTCCAAATCAAGCAGATATAAGTATATGCAGGATGAAATAAGTGAACGTTGTGCTTTAACGTGTGTGATTATTGCGTAACAAGTCAACAATATGCATGTTTGCATAATTTGTTTGACATTTGTCTTTAATGTTTCCGTTTGTATTGTTCCATTGCCATTTCTAGGTTAATCAAACTTTTTGTCGTTTTCAATTGTCACCCAAAAACATTCACTCGTCTTTATAAGCACTAAGCAGCACCCCATCTTGATGTTATTATTGTCCACTTCAACTAGACTCAACATTCGTTTCGTCACACCAATTCCTCAACAAGTTCATATTCTTCCCACAATTCTCACATTCATTATTCACCACTCCATATCAGCTTTCCTCTCATGACTTAAGTTATACGCTATCATATCAAATAATACCATTCCTAAGAGTTTTTGCATAAACCTGCACGCTATCCAATGAAAATAAAATGAAACGATATCA